TAAGATTCGCCCCTGTAATATAATAAAATTTTCAAAGGGTGTCAGTGGGGATGAACATAAAGTGATATATGACTGAAATTGAAAAAAGAAGCCAACAGGTCAGAGGAAAAAACACACGCGTTCGAGGCTGTTCGAGCACTCGGTACGAAATTTTGTAAAGCAAAGAGAGCAAAAACCGAACGGTGATCAGTATATTAGCCTTAAAACCATCATTAACCTGGAAATCTTTTATGCTAATCAGATTTCTTCATTATCCGCCCAAAGCTTATTGCGCGGACTATCAACAAATTTTTAGTAACACTAGCCAAAACTGGTCCATTTTTAGGATAAATGCAGTGAAAGTCTTTCTCAAGGCATGTTCTCCCTCTCCATCATAGATAAAAAAAACTGTGGATAGCGGGGCAAGGAGACAAACGAAAAAGGCCAAAGTCACAAGACTGGAGTTTCTCCCAGAACAAAAAATTGGCAACACTAGTTGACAACCAAAGAACTCTCTACTATAGTCTTCTCCAGGTATCTTCAAGCGCAACCTTTTAAAATTCCTGCATTTCCATCCTGCAGCTACCTTTTTACATCGAGGATCGTTCAGCGTCAATTTTTCAGACTCGTTTGAGATTTAATTTTAGTACCTTAAATTATCACCTTTTTTTTAAAAAAATGCTGTCCTTCACCTGCCTGTGCTCTTTGCGATGCATCTTTTGAAGACGTGAAACATTATTTCCTCTACTGCCCAATTTTGCAGCTCTGCGTTGTTTTAGCTTGTCCAAACGTTTATTTTGCCATCAAATCGCTTCTGTTAGTTGTTGTGTGTTCATTTTTCATATTTATTTTTTTGTTTGCTTGTTTTTTCTTTTTATTCTTTCGCTTTTTTTATGTGCTCTCTAGATGAGCCCTTTGGGCTCTCATTGTAAATGTTGCAATAAATATTGTTTATAAACAAATAATAAATAAATAAAAACTCTGTACTTTAGTTTTATGTGAAATAAGTTTCTTGCCCTGCTTTTTTATCCATGTGATGGATTCTTATAAGGGACATTGAATTGCAGCTCCAAGATTTCTTCCGTTAAACACATGAATTACAACATTGGACTTGATAAGCATCTATGACTGTCGCGGAATTTTCTTTGCCTGGAAAATGCTTGGGCAAGTTTGCCAGAAAATAATCATGCCAAAGTATTTGTAATGAACATACTTTCAACTAGATTAAACAGTATGAAAAGGGTTAAGCATTTTGTTTGGAAGTCAATACAAAAGGCAGAATGTCCTAAACGTCGAAACGTCTAATGAGTTCGGCAAGCTTAATCCGCTTTTATCTCATTTAACCATTTCACGGTGGGGCAAAACCACCCCTCAAAGGTGACTATAAGGGCTAATTTTAGAAATACAAGTTGTATTTGATTTCATTTCACAACCAAACTTGTCAGTTCACGGCCAAATATATTTAAGTATCTGTTTAACGCAAATTGCCAAATTATGACGTTACCAAGAATGACGCCATAGAAAGGTTTAATGAAATTTCTGTTAGAGCTTTAGAAAAGGGTTAAAGCACCGAAAACCAATTTTCGCTACGACACTTCCGACTCGCTTTATTGGACTTCAAAGAAATTTAGTGTGTTACCCCCGAAACGTACTTTTCCTAAAAGAAAAAAAATTCCTATGGTTTTCTTCTTATTTATTATTATTTTTTTCAAAAGAAGCTGATTTTTCTTAACATAAAGATTTTATAGTTGCCCCAAGTCTCGTATCATTTTAGGTTTTCTTTTTTTGACTAAAAACGCTAATTTAAGCAAAACAAAAAATGACTACGTGAATTCGCGGGTTTGGACCAGTTAGGAACTTCCTTTTTCAAATTTGTTTTTTCTTTTAGCTTTCTACAGTAAAACGACGATAAAACACTTCAATTTAGACTGATGTAACTGAGTTTTCCAGATTTGAAATATTTTATTTCGGTGTTCAACTCCCTTTGAAAAGTTTAAAAACGATATTAGTCCATGGGCCAAGAGCTAAAATTTTGAAATTTCTTACCACTTAAACGGAGCAGTGCTATCATACATTTTCTTAAACCTCAATTCCTATACTTTAGTTTGATATATGATAGCAACGATATATGGCCAGCTTAAATATCAAAATCACGTGATTAAGTGACGTAATCACTGACAAAATATTATTCAAAGATTTGTCATCACAAGGGAGGATTTAGGGTTTGGCCGAGGGAAACGCGGCCACCTCTTTTTCTTTGATGATATTTTGTATTATATTCAAGTACAGAATTCTCAGAGAAATAAAAAAGTATCTATTTACCTGGCAAGTGGGCAAGTGTCCGGGCCACCCCTTTCTGAATTTTTAAGATTCGCCCCTGTAATATAATAAAATTTTCAAAGGGTGTCAGTGGGGATGAACATAAAGTGATATATGACTGAAATTGAAAAAAGAAGCCAACAGGTCAGAGGAAAAAACACACGCGTTCGAGGCTGTTCGAGCACTCGGTACGAAATTTTGTAAAGCAAAGAGAGCAAAAACCGAACGGTGATCAGTATATTAGCCTTAAAACCATCATTAACCTGGAAATCTTTTATGCTAATCAGATTTCTTCATTATCCGCCCAAAGCTTATTGCGCGGACTATCAACAAATTTTTAGTAACACTAGCCAAAACTGGTCCATTTTTAGGATAAATGCAGTGAAAGTCTTTCTCAAGGCATGTTCTCCCTCTCCATCATAGATAAAAAAAACTGTGGATAGCGGGGCAAGGAGACAAACGAAAAAGGCCAAAGTCACAAGACTGGAGTTTCTCCCAGAACAAAAAATTGGCAACACTAGTTGACAACCAAAGAACTCTCTACTATAGTCTTCTCCAGGTATCTTCAAGCGCAACCTTTTAAAATTCCTGCATTTCCATCCTGCAGCTACCTTTTTACATCGAGGATCGTTCAGCGTCAATTTTTCAGACTCGTTTGAGATTTAATTTTAGTACCTTAAATTATCACCTTTTTTTTAAAAAAATGCTGTCCTTCACCTGCCTGTGCTCTTTGCGATGCATCTTTTGAAGACGTGAAACATTATTTCCTCTACTGCCCAATTTTGCAGCTCTGCGTTGTTTTAGCTTGTCCAAACGTTTATTTTGCCATCAAATCGCTTCTGTTAGTTGTTGTGTGTTCATTTTTCATATTTATTTTTTTGTTTGCTTGTTTTTTCTTTTTATTCTTTCGCTTTTTTTATGTGCTCTCTAGATGAGCCCTTTGGGCTCTCATTGTAAATGTTGCAATAAATATTGTTTATAAACAAATAATAAATAAATAAAAACTCTGTACTTTAGTTTTATGTGAAATAAGTTTCTTGCCTGCTTTTTTATCCATGTGATGGATTCTTATAAGGGACATTGAATTGCAGCTCCAAGATTTCTTCCGTTAAACACATGAATTACAACATTGGACTTGATAAGCATCTATGACTGTCGCGGAATTTTCTTTGCCTGGAAAATGCTTGGGCAAGTTTGCCAGAAAATAATCATGCCAAAGTATTTGTAATGAACATACTTTCAACTAGATTAAACAGTATGAAAAGGGTTAAGCATTTTGTTTGGAAGTCAATACAAAAGGCAGAATGTCCTAAACGTCGAAACGTCTAATGAGTTCGGCAAGCTTAATCCGCTTTTATCTCATTTAACCATTTCACGGTGGGGCAAAACCACCCCTCAAAGGTGACTATAAGGGCTAATTTTAGAAATACAAGTTGTATTTGATTTCATTTCACAACCAAACTTGTCAGTTCACGGCCAAATATATTTAAGTATCTGTTTAACGCAAATTGCCAAATTATGACGTTACCAAGAATGACGCCATAGAAAGGTTTAATGAAATTTCTGTTAGAGCTTTAGAAAAGGGTTAAAGCACCGAAAACCAATTTTCGCTACGACACTTCCGACTCGCTTTATTGGACTTCAAAGAAATTTAGTGTGTTACCCCCGAAACGTACTTTTCCTAAAAGAAAAAAAATTCCTATGGTTTTCTTCTTATTTATTATTATTTTTTTCAAAAGAAGCTGATTTTTCTTAACATAAAGATTTTATAGTTGCCCCAAGTCTCGTATCATTTTAGGTTTTCTTTTTTTGACTAAAAACGCTAATTTAAGCAAAACAAAAAATGACTACGTGAATTCGCGGGTTTGGACCAGTTAGGAACTTCCTTTTTCAAATTTGTTTTTTCTTTTAGCTTTCTACAGTAAAACGACGATAAAACACTTCAATTTAGACTGATGTAACTGAGTTTTCCAGATTTGAAATATTTTATTTCGGTGTTCAACTCCCTTTGAAAAGTTTAAAAACGATATTAGTCCATGGGCCAAGAGCTAAAATTTTGAAATTTCTTACCACTTAAACGGAGCAGTGCTATCATACATTTTCTTAAACCTCAATTCCTATACTTTAGTTTGATATATGATAGCAACGATATATGGCCAGCTTAAATATCAAAATCACGTGATTAAGTGACGTAATCACTGACAAAATATGAACAAACTGTCTAAAAGTGGTTGATGAGAACAGAGTGTTTCATGCATATTTTGTGCTCTACTGTTGATTTAAATGCGAAATTGCATTATGATAACATTTGACTAAGAAAATTAACGAGAATTAATATACCTTGGTTGCCATAGCAACAATCACATGGGCTAAAAGTGTTTTCATACATAGGAATGTTGAACTCCCTCAGGAAACATCGTCAGCTACTTGCTTTAATGTGTCAATGTACACTTTGCATCGAATATTTGTGTTAAATAATCAACGTTTTAGTCGCATTTCCATCGAAATAAACATTACAAGAGCAGCACACTAGTGCTTGAGCTTTAGTCTGTTTAGTGACACGCAGTAACATTGCTAAAAACCTCAACACCTAATGACCTAATGACTTTCCTGTCTGGTATTTTGCAAATAACTTTGTCCACGACCCTACAACACTAAGAGATTGTGCCAAGGCACTGCGAGAACCTTTAGAGTACTACAGCTCAATCATCTTCACATTCAACATCACCTGCAATTAAATCCTCTGTAGCTTCCTCTGGCTGGTTTGTACACTCCTGTAACCGACACATGTCATTGCAATGCAATCCGTTAGCCAGACAGGTACAGCTTGGCAACTGGTAGACTATCGTACACTGGCCGGATAGGAGCTCAAACATAGCCTTGGGTGCCGGTTCCCCACTCATCCAGTCAATAGTCAATTTACCATCCTTTAGGCACCATCCAGAGCCAATGGGCAAGGGGATTTGGGGTGAACTTTGAAGAATCCTGCACCATATTGCTGACCGATAGTTTGCTCTCTCACAATGGTTTCGTAACGTGTCCTGGCATGGTGGAAGCTGGTGCGACTGTAACTCTCCTTTCCTGGCCCAGAAGAGACGGTAACGCAACAAGTTAAAATCCTTAGTTCCAGGATTTGAAGAGTACATCAGGCATGTGAACTCTTGAAGACGCACAAATAGCTCATCCGATAATTTCCATTCCACGCCAAGGTGTTGGAATAAATCTTGGTATGCAGGACGTTGCTTTCCTAACTTTAACGCCATCAGTTTTCCTTATCCAGAAAATGCGCCGACACTATCACATCCAGGGAAAGCATGCACACCAGGAAGACGTTTGCAAATCCTAGAACCATGACGTTCGAAGACATTTGTCGAGCTTGTATTGCAATGTCATTAACTCTATGCAACATCCCCCCACCTGCGAGTGTTTCCTCTAATCTGTCGATGTTGTCCCAGGCAAGCCATGTACTGATGTGAGGCTTGATGTTGTCAGGAAACGGGACGGCATTTTCCGGGGTCATTGCCATTTTCTGAAGACACAACGCTGTCTTCAATTCTTCGATTTGTGAGTAGGCTATCCCATGTCCTCATCGATTCAAGATCTGAATTAGTTCTATATTATTTGTCAAGGTCTTGACAGCATAGGGTAGTTATATGTGTTTTGGAGGCCTCTTTCGGCCGGCAGTCACTCCGAATACCATGTGCTGCCCAAACGAGTTGACAAGGCGCTGGACTTTTGATGAGCATGTTTCTTCTGGATACTTTGACTTTCCTGTTAAAAAGGTAGCTAGAAACACTCTAACTTCATCAGGGAGATTCATTTCCTCTTCAGTGAGCTGGGAAGGCTTAGGAGGCCACGACATCTCGATTTCTTTGCAACATATGGCTTTCCGAAATTCTAGAGCAACTCGTTGGATGTCATCTATTAATGATGCTTGACCTTCGCACTGCAGATGCTGTAATCCCGCTTCTTCTTTAGCCAACTGAAGTCGTGACAAATTGGCATGGATAATAAAGGCTCTGTTGTTACCAAGCAGGTCTTCAAACTGTAATAAACTCCCACACTCTGCTTGAAGTTTCCTGCGAAGATGTGTCTTGGAGGACTCTTTAGTTTCCTTGATGCCCAGATCTTTCATGTAGGAGATCATCGTTTGAGTATGAGATCAGTGAGCCTTATTAGATTAGGCGTCACCAGCACGTTATTCCTGACGTAATCGAAAAGCTTCTCATACGCTGCTGCCTCAGTGCAAGCATATTCGTCATCCTGAGATGTAAATGATAAAGTCGTGGATGTGCCTGTTTCTGGCTTTGGTCGGGTGTATTCTCTGTAGCAAGTTCCGTGATAGCATGCCTCAGCTGCTACCAAATCTCGTGACACAATAGCTAATAACTTGCTATCATTCTTTGCCAACGCAGTCTTTCTGATATTTTCGTCTGCACGCAGATCAATGCCTTGAATCAGTTTCTCCCGTACATCTCTGCCTTTAGCGTACTTACTAACTTTGTCACAGAAAATGCAAACTTGTTTGTTTATTGTTTTGTTTGCCAAAAATTGTACAAATCAAATAAAAATCTAATTACTTAAACTCTCATGGCGAGGAAGCCCAAGAGAAGCCACCGGGCTTATAAGGAATGGGCTCCCTCAGTTAGATAATTAGAACAAAAAATTATCGTAATTACACATGGGAAAATCAATGGCAGAAGCCACCGGGCTTATAAGGAATGGGCTCCCTCAGTTAGATAATTAGAACAAAAAAATTATCGTAATTACACATGGGAAAATCAATGGCAGAGCTACAGTAAATCTTAAAATAAGTATATTAGGTAGTCGTACTAGTCATAGTTTTAGGCTAAAAAAAGCGAAATGACAAAAAGAAAAAACGAAACAAAACAAAAGAAAATAAAAGAGCAAAGGAAGAAAAAAAAATACATATATATATATATATATATATATATATATATA